AGAAGGCTGAGGGGAGACCTTATCAATGGTTACAAGTATCTAAAGGGTGGGTGCAAGGAGGATGGAGACAGGCCCTTCTCAGCAGGGCCCAGTGTCAGAACGAGGGGCAATGGGTGCAAGTTGGAACATGGGAAGTTCCATTGAAATATGAGGAAAAACTTCTGTACAGTGAGGGTGACAGAGCCCTGGGACAGGCTGCCCAGGGAGGCTGTGGAGTCTCCAGCTCTGGAGATATTCCAAACCCACCTGGATGCAGCCCTGGGTAAAGTGCTCTGGGTGATCCTGCTTCAGTGGGACAGTTGGACTAGAGGATCTCTAGAGGTCCCTGCCAACTCCAGCAGTTCTGTGATGCTGTGAGACAGTGCTCTGTGGGGCCAGAGTGTGGGGCCGTGCCCCACAGCTGCCCTGGGAGGGGCACACATCCTGCCCACCCCTGCTGAGGGCTGAGCTCCTGCCAGAGCCTCCCCCCCCAGGGTGGCTCCCAGCCCCCCGAGCACAGCCCCAGGGTGCTGCCTGTGCCCCCAGCCTGTGCCAGGAGCAGCTGCCGGCCACCGGGGTGCCCATCACGCGCCAGCGCTTCGACCAGATGCGTGGCATGTTCGACGAGTACGTCCGCTCCTCCACGCTGCAGAACTGGAAGTTCTGGATCGTATCCTTTGGGGCCAGTGCCCGCTGCCTGCTCTGACCCCTGCACCAGGCACCAGACCCATCTGTGGGGTCACTCTGGCTTGAGAGGTTCTGGGGATCACAGCGAGATGTTTCCCAGCCAAAGGCACGTGGTGGGAACGTGCTGAGATGCTGCGGTGGGGAAGAGGCTTCTGGTACAACAATGTAAATGGAGTAGGAGTAAATGATCAGTCCTCAGGGAAAAGGGAAGGCACCAGCAGAGCTGAGCTCGTGCAGGAAAGGGATCCTGGTGACATAGGAACTGGCTCTGAGAAGCAGCAGCTATTGACTAGGGATGAGACACAAAGCTGGGGGCATGGTGGCTTGGCCTTGGTGGGCAGGGGCACACTCTGGAAACCCAGATGTACCCATGCCTGGGACACAAGTCTGAGCTCTGTGCAGTGGAAGGGATGGAGGGAATGAAGGGACAGGGAACAGTCCCTGACAGTGGATCAAAGGGCCAGAGCCACTTCTCTGTAAGCAGGGACAAGACACACTGGAACCATTAAGCCTGCAGAGACTGTGAGGTCTATGGAATCCCAAGTGGTCAGGCCAGGCTGCCCACAGTCCCATCTGCCAAACAGCCCAGGCAAGGCAAAGATGGCTCCTGATGCAGTTTGGGAGCCCTGTGGGCATTCTTCCATGGGACACAGGGGATGCCAAAGCCAACGTGGGCTCCAGGACACACTCATGGTGGAGGTATCTGCTGTGGATTACTACATCCACAGTCACAAGTCCCCAGTGATGGTCCACGCAGACTGAGAGCACCAGGGGAGAGCACAATGGACACACTGGTGTCGTGCCCTGCTCCTGGGGGCTTCAAAGGACACTGTGCTCGCTGGCTTCTTGATCTGCTCTGAAGAGTTGTCCTTTGTCTAATCAACCATTTCTGGCAGCCCTAGTCATGATGGGCTTACACAGCTCTCCTGGGTGACACTCAGGTCCCCATCACCCCAGCAGTGCAGGCTGGTGCCCCATGTGGTGCTGAGGAAGGCACCCAGCAGGCCTGCTCTGGCTGGGCAGGGAGGTCGTGCTGCCCACACCTGGTAGGTGGGACACCATGGGCTTGGCAAGGCTGGTCCTTAACTCCTCCGCTCCCATCAGTTCAGTATCATCATCCGGCCCCTCTTTGAGTCCTTCAACAGCATGGTGTCCACAGCCAGCATGGAGAGCCTCACGCAGACATCTCTGGCCTGGCTGGACCAGCATTGCTCCCTCCCAGTGCTTCGGCCCAGTAGGTGGCCTTGCTCCTGTCTGTGGCTCCCTGAAGATGCCTGGGCTGATGGAAAAGGAGGGGAAAAGAGGGGGTGTCCGTGGGGGCAGTGGGGCTGGTGCTGCAGCAAACTGCTGCTGCACAGGAGGGATGACCCACAGCACATCCTGGGCTGCTTTCCCACCCTTGCTCCAGCTGAGCTCCCTGCTGCTGCCCAAACCCACAACCCACCTCCTGCAGGGCTCAGCGCTCCCCAAAGCCCCCCAGGGTGGGTTTCCCTTCCCCCTTTTGGCCCGGGGCTGGGGCAGGGAACTCCTGTGGTGCCCCAGGGCTGCAGCACGGGTGGGAAGAGCCACCTCCCCCGGGATGGGTTAGGGGAGCCCCGGGAGCAGCTGACACGTCCGTGTCTCCCGCAGCCGTGCTGAGCTCCCTGCGGCAGGGCCGCGCCTG